TCGTTCCCCGCACGAATGCGTTGCGGTGACCCAGCAGCTGGTGGAGATCAGCATCATAATGGCCTCCAGTGTAACCTGGATCCCGGAAAGACAGGTCATTCTTGGATTTCGCGGCAAGGGCGCTCGCCGTGCACGACGAGCCTTAACAGACCCCAACAAGGCAGATACCTTTTTCGACCACTCCCTGTGGTGACAAACGGATTGACACTACTAACTGGTATTAGCACGTTGGCACTGTGCGGACCTCTGGTGGCTCCACCCTGCTCGATGCCGAGGAAAAGGCTTCCAAATGCCTGACTGCGTACTATCCCCTCGAGCACAGGTTGTTCCAGATCCCCAAGATGTCACGTGACACTCTGCTGTCCCCTGCCCGTTCTTTGTGTTTTTCCCGCCTGCTGTCCAGCACAGACACGTGGGTTCAGCCCACCCCGGAAACAGTTAGGGTTTTGAACGCTGCTCGCCTCCGCGAGTTTCGCCAAAATTGCGGCCGCTGCCAGTTCAAAGCAACTGGCCATGAGACAGACAAGTCGGCGCTCGCCGAGATAGGGGAACTCCCCGCTGGCAATTTTCTCCTCCAGCGCCGCCTTACTGCTTCTTTCAGGACCCTGGACGGTGCCCTAAAAAATGTGTGGTTCTCCTGTTTTGTCAGCCTGGCGCTTCGAAGGCTTTGGCTAAGGATTTGGCGTGGGCCTGGCAAGCCGCGCCCACCTTGAGATCTTTGCCAGACCCAAGCCAAGACCCGAGGCCTTGGCTTGAATTGGTGCCCAACCCATGTAAGTGGAAGCGCGCCTTGTCGGCTCTCGACCCAAGCTTCTCCCTAATGCGTGCCCGGGATGCAACTCCAGAGATCTTCGACGCTACTGTTTCGGCTCCTCTGGCCAGTGCCCCTCTCGTGTGCATGCGGTACCCTCTGAAGCGACGTCGTTGCTGCACCAGCAACCGAGACCTCCGCAGCCATATGTTTCGTGCCAACGCTGTTAGGAAAGACGCAAGATCTTATGTCCAAGACTCTTTTTGCCTTGTTTACAAAGTGGTATTCTCAAGCCGTCCTGCTGCAGTGGAATATTTGGCTTACAGGGCCAAGCGCTGCAGAGACGCTGTTGCTTCACTCAGCCCCCTCGCTGAGAGTACAGTTGCTCGTCTTGACATAGCTGATCGCGACAAGGCTCGCGAGATACGCTGGACTGCCTGCCGGGGTCACGCTAGCCCTGTGCAGTCGACCCGTACCATATGGATGCACGATAAGGATGCAAGGGCTTTGGAAGGCCGTTTCGAAGCTTTGCGAGCGGGGCGCGGCCAGCGAAAGTGAAAAGGGATGGACGGAGGAGGCAAGGATGCAAGGATAGCCTTGGGAAGCTTGCCCATCCTTACTATGCGGCTTGACTGTACAGCCCGCGCAGGTGCGGGTTCCCGTCTTCGCACTGTCGGAATCGTCACAGCTCAGACCCGGACGTCTGCGGTCAAAAAAACAGAATCCTCATCATTCTCAACATCACCATCGTGATCAGCATCATCATCATCACCATCATCATCATCAACATCAGCATCATCATGATCGTCGTCGTCATCATCATCGTCATTACCAGCAGCAGCAGCGGAATTATCAACAACAAAAACAACTACAACAACAATATCATTAGCACCAACAACAACAACAACAACAACAACAACAACAACAACAACAACAACAACAACAACAACAACAACATCAGCATAATCATCACCCAGCTCATCAGCAGCAGCAGCACCGTCATCATCATCATCATCATCATCATCAGCACCATCATCATCATCATTATCATCGTAACCGTCGTCGTCGACATCATCAACATGATCATCATTTGAATTTCTCCATCATGTTCATTAGCAACAGCAGCCGTATAATCATCAAAACCATTATCAACACCAACCACGACAACCACAGCAGTGGAGTCTGGGCCACCAAACAAACAAACTGCCCGGGGAGCCCCACAATCTGACAGCGAACGGGGAGGGTGAAACCACCCTTGGCGGCTCACCCTTTTTCCTTTGTGGTGCTGCAACCAGCGAATCGGCTGAGACGTCCTCACAATCTGCTCTGACAGCAGAAGAGTCTGAGCCACCAAACAGGCAAACCGCCTGAGACATCCCACAATCTAACTGCGAACGGCGGAGTGAAACCACGATTGGCGGTTCCCCCCTCCTCGCTGGAGACACCCCCACAGATATGTGAAAACTTATACGTCCAAGCTTCGGAACAGACACACCGCCTGGGACATCTACACAATCTGGTCGCGAACGGGCGAGTAAAGCCACCCCTGGCGGCTTTCCCTTGGGGTGCTGAAACCAGCGACTCGCTGGAGACACCCTCACAATCTGTTCACAAAGCACAAAGAACCAAGCCACCGAACAGGCAAACCGCCTGAGACATCTACACAATCTGTCCGCGAACATGCAAGGAAACCCTGGCGGCTCCCCTCTGGGATGCTGGAACTGGTTGCGAGTAAGTATGAGAATGAGTGAGCCTGGGTGAGAAAGAGGACGAAGTGAGCGAGACTGGGTGTGAGTCAGTCCGAGTATGCCTGAGTCTGAGTATGAGTGAGTCCGAGTGAGGAAGAGGCGGATGAGGGTGAGTCTGAGTGTGAAGTAGTCTGAGTATGCGTAAGTCTGAGTATGACCATGTCTGAGTGCGAGTGAGTCTCAGTACGAGTCCGAGTGAGGAAGAGGAGTGTGGGAAGAAAGAGGTGTGAGTGAGGCGTGAGTCGGAGGCGTCTGAGTAGCAACAAGAACCCCGTCTTAGGATCTGGGGGAAAAGGCTGGGAGAACGCAGTGTTCAATAGCGTCTTTCCCGACCCTGCTGTTCTCGCAGTACTTTCCCCAACGGCTGGGGGCACACGCAGTCCGCTGGCGCGGACGCACCTTCGCACGGGCGCTTCCGAGACGCACAGGGCGGCAGTGGCTCGCCGCAGGCGTCTTCGATGACAGTCCTGGCTGGCAGGTTCACGCCCCAGGCGAGCGTGGCGGTGCAACACAAGCACTTCAGGATGCCCGAGAGGAACATCTTCTCGGTCAGCGTGCGGTCCGCCCGCAGCATGCCCGCATGGTGGATGCCGAAGCCGTGCGGGAACATCTGCTGCAGCTGCCTGTTCCGCGACTTCTCGACCTGCGCCTTCCAGTAGGCATACTGGTGGTGCTCCTGCACGTCGAAGACGGAGCTCTGGGCCTTCTGGGAAGCGATCTCTTGGAGCGAGTTCGCGGTCTTGAAGGTGTCGCCGCGCGAGTGCACGAACACCATGCACTGGTGCTCGTTGCGTACCTGCTCGTAGACGACGTCGTAGCAAATTTCTGTCATTTGCTGGTTCCTCTTCATCTGGTTCGTTTCCGTGACGCCAATGAAGGTGGTGTCCAGAGGAATGGGCCTGTAAGAAGCATCAAAATAAAAGAGGTTCTCGCCCTCGACACGCATGAAGCTGGCGACGTCTGCATAATTTGGCAACGTGGCGGAGAGGCCCACAAGCCGCACTGGCTGACCACTAGTCTCCTGATATCGGAGCGACCTGGCCACCACGGTCTCGATAATTGCGCCGCGCTCCTCGTTGAGCAGGTGGACCTCGTCGATGATAATCAGCTGCACCAGCTTCTGGAAACTGTCGTCCGTGACGCCGCCTCCCTGCGTCGAGTTCCGCGTCATCACGTCAAACTTCTCGGGCACCGTGACGATCACGTGCACCTCCTCGATCTCCTTCTTCGTCAGCTGCATGTCTCCAGTGAGCTCGGCCACCCGCACGCCCAGGGGCGCGAGCCGCGAAGCGAACTTCTCGGCGATCTCGCCCACGAGCGCCTTCATGGGCGCCATGTAGATTCGCCGGCCCCTTGGGGTCCTCGGCACGTGAGGTAGCTGCCCCTTGCCTGATCTTCTGCACTGAAGGGGCCCTGGGACACACAAACAAGTGGCACGCGTGCCATGGCTCTTGCACACGAAGGAAGGGGGAGGAGGAGGAGGAGGAGGTGGAGAAGGAGGAGGAGGAGGAGGAGGAGGAGGAGGGAAGAGGGGGCAAGACATCGCCCCTCGGGGCCCAACAACGTGGCCCAAACCCCAGGTGGGGAGGGGGGGTTGGCGTGCGTCGCGACGCGGAATAAAGTGCTCGCACGGGGCGGAGGTCCAACTGGGGCGCTGGGGGCGCGGAGAGGAGGGGGGAGGTGGTGTTCGTCGCGACGCGGAATAAACTGGTCGTGGGGGAGAGGCACGGGGCGGGGGTCCCACGGGGGCGCTGGGGCGCAGGGGACGCGGGGGGGAAGGGGCGAGGTGGTGTGCGCCGCGACGCGGGATAAAATAGTCGGGGCAGAAGGCCACGGGGCGGGCGCCCACTGGGGCGGCGGGGACGCGGGAAGGAGGGGGGGGGGGACATGGCGTGCGTCGCGACGCGGAATCGAATGCTCGGGGCGGAGGGGGCACGGGGCGGCTCGGGGCAGAGGGCCACGGGGCGGGGGTTCCACTGGGGCGCCAGGGACGCGGGGTGGGTGGGGGAGGTGGTGTGCGTCGCGACGCGGAATACAACTGCCGGGGCGGAGGGGGCAGGACTGGGGCGCTGGGGACGCGGGGGGGAGGTGGGGAGGTGGTGTGCGTCGCGACGCGGAAGAAACGTTCGTGGCGGAGGGGGCTGTGGGCGGGGTTCCTACTGGAGTGCTGGGGACGCGGGGTGGCTCGGGGTGACTGGGCTGGGCTCCTACCGGGGCGCTGGGGACGCGGGGGGGGGAGGTGGTGTGCGTCGCGACGCGGAATAAATTGGTCGGGGCGGAGGGGGCACTAGGCGGGGCTTGGGGCAGAGGGCCACGGGGCGGGGGTCCAACTGGGGCGCTGGGGACGCCGGGGGGGAGGTGGTGTGCGTCGCGACGCGGAATAAAATTGTCGGGGCGGGCGGGGCACGTGGCCGAGCCCCCACGGGCGCTGGGGACGCGGGGGAGGAAATGGGCGAGGTGGTGTGCGTCGCGACGCGGAATGAAGCGTTCGTGGCGGAGGGCGCTGTGGGCGGGGCTCCCTCTGGGGCGCCAGGGACGCGGGGGGCTCGGGGCAGAGAGCCACGGCGCGGGGGTCCTACTCTGGCGTTGGGGACGCGGGGAGGGGGGGGTCCCACTGGGGCGCTGGGGACGCGGTGGGGGAAGGGGTAGGTGGCGTGCGGCGCGACGCGGAATAAACTGTCGGGGCGGAGGGGGCACGGGGCAGAGTATCCACCTGGGCGGTGGGACGCGGAGAGGAAGGTGGGGAGGCGGTGCGCGTCGCGACGCGGAATAAACCGTTCGTGGCGGAGGGGGCAGTGGGCTGGGCTCCCACTGGGGCGCTGGGGACGCGGGGGGGGGGCTCGGGGCAGAGAGCCACGGCGCGGGGATCCCACTCTGGCGCTGGGGACGCGGGGGGAGAGCGTGGGGAGGTGGGTGTGCGTCGCGACGCGGGATAAAGCTGTCGGGGCGGAGAGGGCACTGGGCGGGGGGCCGACTGGGGCGCCGGGGGCGCGGGGGGAAGGTGGGGGAGGTGGTGCGTCGCGACGCGGAATAAAGTGTTCGTGGCGGAAGGGGCAGTAGGCGGGGCCCCTACTGGGGGAGGGGAGGTGGTGATGTGGCTGGTGAGGAGGGGGAGGTGGGTGTGCGCCGCGACGCGGAATAAAGTGGTGGGAGCTCTAGACACCCTGTGCAAGAGAATAAAACGTTCGTGGCGGAGGGGGGCAATGGGCGGGGCTCCCACTGGAGCGCTGGGGGCGCGGGGAAGGAAGTGGGGGAGGTGGTGTGCGCCACGACGCGGAAGAAAGCGTTCGTGGCGGAGTGGGCAGTAGGCTGGGCTCCCACTGGGGCGCTGGGGACGCGGGGGGGGGCTCGGGGCAGAGAGCCACGGCGCGGGGGTCCCACTCTGGCGGTGGGGACGCGGGGGGGGCGTGTGGTTGGGGGTCCCACTGGGGCGCTGGAGATGTGGGGGTGAGGAAGGAGGTGGCGTGCGTCGCGACGCAGAATAAACTATCGGGGCGGAGGGGGCACGGGGCGGAGCTCCCACTGGGGCGCTGGGGACGCGGGGAGGAAGGTGGGGGAGGTGGTGTGCGTCGCGGCGTCGCGACGCGGAATAAGGCGTTCGTGGCGGAGTGGGCAATGTGCGGGGTTGTTCCCACTGGGGCGCTGGGGACGCGGGGGGGCTCGGGGCAGAGGGCCGCGGAGCGGGGTCCCACTGTGGCGCCGGGGGCGAGCGGGGGGAGGTGGGTGTGCGACGCGAAATGAAGCGTTCGTGGCGGAGGGGGGCAATGGGCGGGCCCCCAATGGGGCGCTGGCCTGGGGACGCGGGGGGGCTCGGGGCAGAGAGCCGCGGAGCGGGGGTCCCACTGTGGCGCTGGGGGCGCGGGGGAGCGGAGCGGGGGGAGGTGGGTGCGCGACGCGGAATAAAGCGTTCGTGGCGGAGGGAGCTATGGGAGGGGCTCCCACTGGGGCGCTGGGGACGCGGGGGGGTTCGGGGCAGAGGGCCGAGGAGCGGAGGTCCCACGTAGCGCTGGGGACGCGACGGGGGGAGCGGGGGGAGGTGGGTGTGCGACGCGGAATAAAGCGTTCGTGGCGGAGGGAGCCGTGGGCGGGGCTCCCACTGGGGCGCTGGGGACGCGGGAGGGCTCGGGGCAGAGGGCCGCGGAGCGGGGGGCCCACTGTGGTGCTGGGAACGCGAAAGGGTGCGGGGGGAGGTGCTGTGCGGCGCGGAACAAAGCGTTCGTGGCGGAGAGGCCCATGGGCGGGGCTCCCACTGGGGCGCTGGGGACGCGGGGGGGCTCGGGGCAGAGGGCTGCGGTGCGGGGGTCCCACTGTGGCGCTGTGGACGCGGGGGGAGGAGCGGGGGGAGTTGGGTGTGCGACGCGGAATAAAGTGGTCGGAGCTATAGACACCCTGCGCAAGAGAATAAATACACACAAATGACAGGAATCCCCATATTTTCCCATATTTTCTGGGTTTCTGTCTTCCCCTCCACTTCCCATATTTTCCTACATTTTCTGGGAAATCGACGATTAATTGTGTCAGTGTGTTTTTCCCCTCCTGATGCACGCAAGAGAGGCCCTGGGCAAGAATGACCTTTGGGGCGCGCGCGGGGGGGGGGGGGAGGCGACCCCAGGTGAGCAGGCCGCCGCTTTCGCATCGCATTCAGCGATCGGGGGGCCCCAGTGAGCCCGCTCCAGGCGTCACTCCAGCGAAGGGTCACTCTTGCGCGTGGTCGATCAAACCCTTCCCCTGAGTCCTAGACGAGCGCGTTCCACTACTCGCAAAGTGACTACTCGCAAATGGCCTGGATCCGCGGGGGGGGATCTACGAGAAATTACATCGAAGCAGACATGTGGTTCTCGGACGTTTGCGAGTGGGCAATTTGCGATTAGTGGAACGCGCTCGGTGAAGTCCGGCCCGGCCAGTCTGGAGGGGGTGCTCCTGGTCAGCGGTGCCGGCGGCCCTGGCGGTGCCGGCGGCGCTGGCGGGCTCGTCCGCCCCAGGAGCGCCCCCCCAGGCACGCACCCAGAGTGCCCCAGATCGCTCCAAGACGGTCCAAGAAGGCCCCGAGATGGCCCAAGAGACGGCCCAAGATGGCTTCAACATGGCCCGAACATGGCCCGATCGCGTGTTCGAGCTTCTGTGAAAGCCCAGAACGGCCAAGAGGCTCCTCTGAGTGGCCGAAGACCGCCGAGGAGGGCCCGAAGAGGGTCCCGAGACGGCCCAAACAGAGCCCTTTATGAGGGCCGCAGGAAGAGGCCCAGAGGTTGATCTCGAAGGGGCCCCAGGAGCCCTCCCCCCCGCAAGGTGGCCACCAAGACCCCCCAGATACCCCCAAGAGATCACCAGGAGGCCCCCAAGAGGCCCCCAGAGGCCTCCACAACGACCCAACAGGGTTCCTTTTGATGTCTTGGGTCCCCCTGATGAACGGACGGCGCCAAGACTATTCTACGACAAGGCCCCCAAGAAGAGAGGCATCCAGGGCTCCCAAGAGGTCGGAGATGCGGCGTAAGCCAACTAATCACCTTGAAATCTCGCCCGACACCGCCTGCGGCGTCCATGTGCTGTCCGATGAGGCGCAATATGCACAGCACGGCGATGTTCGTCTTGCCAGCCCCGGTCGGAGCACAGATCAGCATGTTCTGTGATCGGCCGAATGCCGCGTTGTAAACTATCGACTGGATCGTGTTTAGACTCTCGGTGCCTTTGAAGGCGACCCGCGCCCACTCTGGCATGTCTCTTACTGGTCTGAGCTCAACCGTCGTGTGATCGAACGTGGGAGCGGCGGGCACGGTCACCTTCTCGTAGCCCTTCAGCATCTTGCGCTCCGTCCCCTCTGGCAGAACAAGTCTTAGGCCCATACCGGCCAGGTTCGACTGATACAGATTGCCTGTCGCCGCTTTCGCCTTGGGCGCAGCGACCTTAGGCTTCAGCACGCCCTCGTCGGCTTCCTCACCATCGATGCCTATACTGGCAAGGAGCCGCAGCGCCGCGATCGTCTGTGCCTGTGTGTTGTTGCCGTCCGTCGCCTCCCTGGCCGCCTTCTGCGCAGCCTTGCTGCGCAGCTTGGCGTTCCGCTTCTCGCTCTCGGACGTGACCGTGATGCCGACCCCGGGCACCTTCCGGCTCTGCGGCGGCGCCGGGCCCGCCGCCGCCTCGCGCTGCCCCACCAGGGTGCAGGCGCGCTTCTTCAGCTCGCCCCACTCCTCCAGCAGCGCGTCCCGCTTCTCCAGGAGCTGCGTGAGGAGCTCGAAGGCCTCGAAGCCCAGGAGCTCCAGCAGCGCGTTCTGGTCGGGCTCCTCCCCGGGCTTGCACTCCAGCATCTCGAGGAGCTGCCCCATGAGCTCCTCCACCGTGAGGGACGGCGCCCCGCCCCCGGGAGGGGCCGCGGCCGACGATGACGACGAGGCGCCGCCGCCGCCCGAGGACGACTGCTGCTGCACCTGCGAGCGAGAGAGCCGTGCGCGAAGGCACCGATCCTGGCCAGGCCCCCTCGCGTCGCGGCATGGATCACGACGGGGGGGACTCGCTGCGCATCCGTTTCTGCCACGGGGGGGGCCCTCGCCGGGCCCCGAGAGCGTCAAGGAACGACTCGGTGCGAGAAGCTGGCTCCGCGTGATGGCGAAAGTCGCGACGCCGGGGGGGTGTCTGGGGATGGGGCCTGGCCAGGCCTAAGTGGGATCGTGCAGGGCTGAGGCAAACCCATGTGGACCCGACCCCTACAGGTGAGATTTCTGAAACTCCGCCTCGGGTTCTGAATTCCGAGGATGTCTGCAGCCAGGTGAACCCCAGCGGGGGTGTCCGACAATCCAACGCCGAGTGGGCCCGTATCGGCGGCGCGCCCAGGTGGGGGAAGTGAGAGGGGGCAGGTCTTCTCGGAAGGCGGCGGGGCTTCTCAGAAGCCCTCACGCCGTCTGAGAAGTGGTCTGCGTCTTCGAGGCCCCAAAAAACTTGGGCCCGAGGCCTTCCGAGCCTTCTGCGGAGGCCCGCCCCCCCCTGGTTTCCCCCCCTTGAGCTCGCCGCCAGCCCCAGGGATGGGGCTCAGCACGCGGTGGAAGCCGACTCGCGTCGCCCGAGCGCCAGGTGCAGCTCGCACTGCCCGCGGAACCAGGCCAGCGTGGGCTGGCGCGGCCTGCCCGACGGCGCCGAGCCGCCCCTCGGGGCCGCCCCAGCCTTGGCGGAGTCGCCCGCGACCAGCGCCTTCGCGCGGTGGAAGAAGAGCTCCTGCCGCTCCTCGAGGCCCGCGGCCAGCCGGTCCGCGGGCACGGCCGCCGCGGAGGGGGCCGCGGCGGCGCCGTCGAGCGGGTACGCGAGCCCGAGGCTCTCGCCGAACTCGTGGTCCATCTCGCGCTCGCCCGTATGGAGGCCGCGGCCGCCGCGCCCCGCGGCGGCGGCGGCGCCACCGCCGCGGTCGAAGCGCGCGAGCGTCTCGGCCAGGCGCCGGATCTGCCCGAAGCTCGAGCGGTCAAAGGAGATCAGGACCTCCTGGATCGCCTTGATCTGCTTGTCCTCTTCGCTGGGGGCGTCGGGCCCGCAAACAGCGTCGTAGAGGAACTCGCACGCGGCCATGCGGTCCAACTCCTCTCCAGCGACCTTCCCGGCGCGGGTGACGAAGTTGTTGAACGCCTCGCGCCCGTCCCGCTTCTCCCTCTCGGGAGCCGACGCGGGGGCGAAGCGCAGCACCGTGAACGAAGAGCCGCCGGGCTTCCCCTGGCCAGCGCTGGAACGCCTCGCGGAGAGGGCCTGGAAGCGCACGATGCTCTCCTGGTCCAAATCGAAGTGTACCAGCTCCGGCGGATACAGCCGGGCGCGCAGCAGCCCTGTCAGCCGGGGCCTCACCGCCAGCTGCCCGGGCGCCGACAGCTGCGCCTGGAGCTCCCCCGAGAACGAGTCCCCGCCGGGCCTCTTCCCCGCCACGGACATGGGCCGTGGGGGACCCTGCGGCGGCGTAACCTCAGGATGTAAGACAAGAGGCCCCCGGGTCCTACGCGTATCACTGGCATTGCCTGCAATCGGCCAGCACGTCGAGGCTGCTGCTGGACTACCGCACTGCGCTCTTTATATCGTGTCCTGTTTTTTGCCGATTTGCTATTTTGCCTGCGTGTTCTTGCCTATTCGATCTACTGTCGACTCATGGAGGTCTCGACCCCTTCCGTGGGACCAGCTTTGAGAGCCGCACGAGGCCAAAATTGAAGGAAACAATCAAAAACAACGTCCCGTCGTGCTTTTTTCGCGAAACGAGTGGATATAGGCTCAGCGGGCCCGGGAAACGCTAGGGCAATGTCATCCAGTTCCGTCTCGCCGCTTTCGTTTCCGATTTAAATGTTTTTTTTCCTGGTTGCGTCGCCGTTTTTTCTCCGGTTCCAGTCCCAGTTCCAGTCCTTGTTCCATGAGGGTAGCAGGCAGGGTAGCAGGCAGGTAGGAGAGGGGGAGAGGACAAGGGAGGCGGGAGGCTGGAGGAAGGAGTGGAGACCGCAGTGCTCTATTCAAAACGAGAACCCAACGCAGGAGCGAAGGGAAAAAACAACGCACAGCGCACACGACGATCATGACCAGGCAGCCCTGCCTAGAGCCCACGAAAGTGTCTACAGTTGTACAGCTGGCGACCCCCGCCACCCCTCCCCCATCCCCCACCCCCCCCCCAGGGCCGACAGCTCGTTTCTGGATGGGCTGGCGGGAATACTGTTGTTCGCGAGCGCGCAGGCATGCCAGGCGCCGTCAAGAATCGCGGGTAACGAGCAGCGGACTAAATCCCGCACAAGAGCGCACAGGAGCGAGCTACGCTGCGGCTCAAGCGTTGGACCAAGCGGAGTCACTGGTCGAAGTGCAGCACCAAAACGGCGAAATTCTGGGAGCCCACGTACACGAGGACGACGAGCGGGCGTGCAGGCGCTCAACGGAAGGGTACCGCATCGTCAAGAGGGGGAGCGTGCCAGCGGCGGAAGCGCCACCACGGCGGAGGAGCAGGAGGGCGGCGCCCAAGCCAGGGGTGTAGGTCGACCCTGGGGAAGCGGCGGGGGGGAAGACCAAGCGTCCGCCGACCCAGAGGTGGGCGGAAGCGTTTAGTGCCACCGAGCACCGACCGCGACGATCCCGACCATCGTCGTCACTCAGGGGGAAACCAGAGGCAGCGGAGTCGCGCAGGTAATTGCGCGGCATGGTCCGCGGCGGCTGCGACGGCGAGCAACTGGGCAGGCGAAAGCGGCGCGCGCAGCTCAAGCGACCAAGCCCGAGCCGGCCCGCTGGTCTCGAGCAAGAGACGACGGGGGGGGGGCTGAGGGGCCCCACAGCGGCGCGGGGGCGGGCGCAGGGGGGGCAAGCCGGCGCCGAGGGCGCAGCGTCGCACGTGGCCCGAGGGAGAACGAGCAGGGGCCAGGGGAAGGCCGGCACCCCCAAAGGGCGCTCGCGGGGCGGTATTAGGCACTAGGCTGGGGCGGCCGCGATGCGCGGCCGCGGCTGGGAGGGGAGTGCCGCGACTCCGGCCGCGGGGCCGCCAGCCGCCGCCGCCGCCGAAGGGGGAGCAGGCGGCGGCGGCAGCAGCGGGGCCGACGGCGGCGGCGGCAGCTGCGGCGGCCGCGGCGAAGCGCGGCGCGACGGCGAGGGAAGCGGGACGCGCAGCGCCAGCCGCGGCCGCGGCGCCACGGCGCGGGCGGCGCGGCGGAGCCCACCGCGACGGAGGCGCCGACACCGCGGCGCCAAGCCGCGCGCGGCAGTGAGCCACCGCGGCGGCGGCAGACGACGCAGCAGGCGAGCGCTGGCGGCGCAGGCGGCGGCCGCGGCATCGAGGGCGCCTGCGGCAGCGGGACCGAGTAGGACGGGCCCAAAGCCACACCGATAGCGGAGTGCGGCGGCAGGGCCGGCGCCGTGTGTCTCGACACGGCGGTGAAACCCCCCCAGGCGCCTCGGCGGTCTCGTGGCGGGAGACGGCGGAGGGGGCTGGGGGACGGACCCCGGTGCAGCGCCTAAGGCGGGTGCAGGGGGGGAGGGGGGGCGACCTGGCGCCAGGAGGCGCGGGGCCGCAAGCAGCCCGTAGCGAGGGCGAGCTGGGGGGCCAGAGGAGAACCGGCGCCCCCAGCTGGGTGCTCGCCAGGCGGCATTGGGCGCGAAGCCAGGGCGGCCAACAGGGTGGCCGCCAGCGGGGGGGGAGACGAGTGAGTGGAAAGCGACAAACGGTTGCAGTATTTGGTAAAGAGAGGAAAGCACGGCGGACAGTGGCGGCGGACGCGACTAACGGTCGCAACATGTGGGCTGCAGGAACTCCAGCGGGCGACCAGAGGTCAGCGTTTCGGGCCGGGAGGGTTCCCGTCGGCATCTCACACTAGGACGGGGCCAGGACGGCAGTGCCCGTCAAGAAACCGATGGGAGCAGACACGGCGGTGAGACGCGCCGGACGCCCCAGAGGTCTCGCAGCGAAGCCGTGGGCAGTGCTACCAGAGCACCCGTAGGCCATAGGCGCAGCAGTGGGGGCAGGTGTGGGAGCGACCGTAAGCGACGGTGTCGAGGACCCGTGAGGGCTGCTGTAGGTGCAGCAGCTGGCGCGGCCGTCGGCAACGCCGTGGCAAAGCCGCCGGCGCTGCTGTCGGCGAGGCTGTGGGCGCCGCCGTCGGAGCACCGCTGGGGACCCCATCGGTGAAGCTGTGTGCGAGGCCGCAGGTGTAGCAGTAAGGGCAGCTGTCGGTGCGGCAGTGAGGGCTGCAGTGGGCGCTGTTGTAGGAGCAGCGGTCGGCCCGGCCGTCGAAATCCTCGACCAGGGCAGCGTGGTATTGAATGACCCTGTCGTATCCGTCACCGTCGTGCCGCTGCTCACCGTAGCGCTGGCCGGCGTGGTGCTGCTCGACAGTGTCGCACTCGAAGTCGTACTGCTCAACGTTGCGCTGCTCGCCGCGACCACGCTCGAGCTGCTGCTCAGTGTCGTCGTGGAGCTCACCGTGGAGGTGGCCGTGGCCGTGGCGCTCCTCGGGGCAGAACTGGTCGTGGCCATGCTGCTCGAGGTCGTGCTGCTGGTCGTCTGAGGCGTACTGCTAGACACCTATTCACTGAAGCCAAGGTGGTGGACGATGCAGTTGTGGTGTTGGTCACGCTCGAGCAGGCCGCCGTGCTGCTGGTGCCGCTCGTACTGTGCTCGATGTCGTCGTGGAGCCCACCGTGGAAGTGGCCGTGGACGTCGCACTGCTCGAGACCGTATTGGTCGTGACCGTGCTGCCGGAGGTCGCACTGATGGTCGCCTGAGACGTACTGCTAGACAACGAAGCACTAAGTCAAGGTGGTGCGGGATGCAGTGGTGCTGCTGGCCACCCTCGAGCTGTCCGTCGTGCTGCTGGTACCGTTCGTACAAGCCGTCTAAGAACTCGTCTCGGTCAGCGTGGTATTGTAAGACCTTGCCGTATCCGTCAGTGTCGTGTCACTGTTCACCGCGGTGCTGCCCGGACGGTGCTGCTCGACCATGTCGCTCTCGAGATCGTACTGCATACGTTGCGCTGCCCGACTCGACCACGCTCACGCAGCAGTTCAATGTCAACGTGGAGCTCACCGTGGAAGTGGTCATGGACGTCGGACTGCTCGAGACCGTACTGTTCGTGACCGTGCTGCTCCGGTCGCTCTGCTGGCCATCTGAGAAGAACTGCTAGACAACGATGCCCTGAAAGTCAACTTGCGGACAATGCAGTGGTGCTGCTGGCCACGCTCGAGCCACCCGTCGTGCTGCTGGCGCTGCTCGTACTAGCCGTCGAAGGACGCGTCTCGGTCAGCGTGGAATGGAATGACCCTGTCGTATCCGTCAGCGTCGTGTCGCTGCACACCGTGGCGCTGGCCAGCGTGGGGCAGCTCGACTGTGTCGTACTCGAAATCGTACTGCTCGGCGTTGCGCTGCACGTCTCGACCCCGCTCACTCTGCTGGTCAATGTCGACGTGGGGCTCACCGTCAGGGTGGCCGTGGACGCCGCAGTGCTCGAGACCGTACTGATCGTGACCGTGCTGCTCGAGGTCGCACTGCTGGTCGTCTGAGACGTACCGCTCGACAACGGTGCACTGGAAGTCCAGGTGGTGGACGATGCAGCTGTGCTGCTGGTCCCTCTCGAACAAGCCGTCGTGCTGCTGGTGGCGTTCGTACTAGCCGACAAGTACTCGTCTCGGTCACCGAGTAGGAATGATCCTGACGTGTCCGTCAGCGTCGTGCCGCTGCTCACCTTAGTGCTGGCCGGCGTTGCGCTGCTCGACTGTGCCGCACTCGAAGTCGTGCAGCTCGACGTTGCGCTTCCACGCAGACGCTGGTGCTCACCGTCGTTGTGGAGGTGGCCGTGGACGACGCGCTACTCGAGACCGTACTGGTCGTGACCGTGCTGCTCGCGGTCGCACCGCTGGTCGTCTGAGGCGCATTGTTGGACAACGATGCACTGGAAGTCAAGGTGATGGACGATGCAGTTGTGCTGCTGGTCACATTCATGCTGGCAGTCATATCGCTGGTGCCGCTCGGACTAGCCGTGGAAGAACTCGACTCGGTCAGCGTGGTATTTTAGGACCTTGTCGTATCCGTCAGTGTCGTGCCGCTGCTCGTCGTAGTGCTGGCCGGCGTGGTGCTACTCGGTAGTGTCGCACACGAAAACGTCCTGTCCGATATTGTGCTTCTCGTTTCAACCACTCACGCTGCTGCTCATTGCCTTCGTGGAGCTCACCGTGGAGGTGGCTGTGGACGTCGCAATGCTCGAGACTGTACTGGCCGTGACCGTGGTGCTCGAGGACACACTACTGGTCGTCTAAGACATACTGCTAGGCAACCGTGCACTGGAAGTCACGGTGGAAGACATTCCATTGTGTGGCTGGTCACGTTCGAGCTGGCCATCCTGCTGTTGGAGCCGCTCGTACTAGCCGTCGGAGACCTCGTCCTGGGCAGCGTGGTGTGGAATGACCCTGCCGTATCCGTCAGCGACGTGCCGCTGCTCACCGTAGTGCTGTTGGCGTGGTGAGGGGCCACTGCGTCTCTGAGGTCTCTCCGCGAGGCCGCGCTCCCGAGGCGGCCAGAGCCTGGCTGGGCCCAACCATCGATGTGCTGGTGGCCCACGGCCTCGTAGTCGGGAGAGGTGCGTGCCTGCTGTCTGTCCGGCTCGGGGAGGTCACCGGCCACACAGCGCTCGCCCTGGCCAGGGGGGCCTCCCGACGTGCGCGCCGTCGGGCCAATACAAACGCAGAGGCCTGGGGGGGCTCCACAGAGGGCAGCGCAGAGGCATGGGGGGGCACCGTTGACAGAGGACTCTAAGTCTGGCAGGGCTGCCCCGCCTCGGTGATGGTGGCTGACAGCCACGTTATCAGGGGAGACAGGGGGGCCGTTGGCAGCCCTGCCCGCGGGGGTCTCCCGCCAGTGCCCTCAAGAGACCGAGCACCCAGTGGGGCCGCCTGAGTAGGGGGGAGTGGCTGATAGCCAACGTAACCAATAAGGAAGGGCAGAACCAGGCGGTTCCCACTGGGGGGTTGCTGGGCGTCCTCTCCTCCTACCACGCAAGGGTGGCCTGCCGGTCTGGGGGGGACTGGGCCACCGACCTCGTCTCGGGTCTGGTGGCTGCCGGCCACACTGGCTGGCTCGTCATCTGGGGGGAGCGATCAGATCTGGGCACAACTATAACGCAGCTGACAGCCGCTTGATGTGGTGAGGAGGCAAGGCCTGATCGATCGATCCCGCGAACGGAGCCCAGAGGCAGAGCGGGGCCGGGGGCCTGATCGGTCGGAGAGCGGTCGGACCCGGCGGAGCTCTGCACAGCCAGGAATTTCGAGGCGCCAAGCGCCAAGAATCTCGAGGCGGATCCCGCAGTGGCGACCAGAGGCATCCCAGAGTCCAAAAGATGCCCCGATCGCTCCCCCCACCTAGACCCCCGACATCGTGATCTTTCCACAACGTGGACTCCCGAAATCTCAACCCACTACCCAAGACCAGCTATTCATCAAGGGTCGCTCGTTACGGTCCTGGGGGGCCCAGCGAGGGCCCCAGAGAAAAACAGTCTGCCGTGCTTGTTTCACGACGCGATGGGGGTCTGGGTTCTTAGCTGCTTTCTGGGGGGGCCACCTCGTTCGGCCTGGCCTCCAGCGAGCCAGCGGCCAGCTTCGGCCGTCCGCCCTGCGCACGGGGGCGCCGCCGCGGGCGCGCGCGCGCGGGGGCCGACGGCGCCGCCTGCTAGCTGCGCGACTTGAGCAACTGCATTCCAAGATGAACACCCTGAATTGGGAAACAGAAGGACGCACTAGTACTAAGTCCTACTGTTGGAGGCGCACGTGCGACACGAACATATGGTAAGCAGGTCGTCTTATAGCAGCATCGTCTCCTGAACGGTATGGCCGGAGAGCGCCCACCACAAAGCTCACACCATGAGATTTCTGAGCGTACGCGTCGCCATTGCGGGGCCGACGCACACATGGCATAAGCATGTTCGGGTGGTGCCGATGCATTCCTCAATGAGCACCCGGGGGCCACCATGACATCGCCGAGAGGGGCCAAGCGAGGGCCTCCAGAGGCTCAAAAGTGGCAGAATCCCCCCTCTTGGAGGCCTTGAAGTGGGCACCAACACCAACATAGAGGGTTGCCTCCACAGGGGTAAGATGATCCTAGATCTCGGTGTTGGTGGTAATATTTCGGTCACCTGGAAAGTCTGAATATTACCACCAACACCGAGATCGGGATCTTCTTCCCTCGGTGGAGGCACACCGCCGATATTGGTGTTGGTGTCAAGACTGCCTCAAACCTCGACTATCCGCCACCGTGCCGCGAGGCAGGAGTTGGAGTGCCCTCAGGCCCCTTGTAGTCCTCGGTCCTCAGGATTGCATATGGAAGGGGCCTGGAAGCCAAAATTCACACATGCTCGAAGGTTCCCGGCGTGCCTCCCGCATTCTCCGGCGCTTCCCGCATGTCATGTTCTCGTCCTCCAGCACTTCTGGGGGTCCTCTCGGGTGCCGCTTGGGGTGTCTTGGAGGCCTCTTCGGCTGTGCTGAGGCCATATTGGGCTATCTTGGATCGCTCTTGTGCCGTCTTCGGTCCCGTCTGGGCCTCTCTCACGCCGTCTTGGAGGTGCCTTAAGCTGGCGAGGAGCTTATGCAGGTAGGGCGGGGCCAAGGGCGCCCCCCGGGCGGCGAAAGCCCTACTCTCGTTTTTGTTCCCGCTTAGACCGCCCATCGGTGCTCGGGGGGGGGGGTCTTGGAGACCTCTTGAGCCGTATTGAGGCCGTCGTGGGCTATCTGGATCGCTCTTGGGCCGTCCGCGGGCCCGTCTGGGCCTCTCTACGCCGTTTTGGAGGCCGTTGAAGCCGTCTGCATACGTGCAGATGTTCGATCACGTCTTGGGGCCGCCTTGGGGGTATATTGGGCCATCTTGGGGCGATCTTGCGGGCCTCTGGTATCTTGAGTCGTTTTGGAGGCATCTTGGACCGTCTTGGAGGACGCTTGGCCTCCTGGGCTGTCTTGAAGGTACCTCAAGTTGACGAGGACTTTACGCGCTTACGCGAAGCCTACACGGAGTCAGCTAACAGGGAAAAGGATGCCCGATCGTGCAACACCCGATGTTCCATGTTAAGGGCTCCGTTAACAAGGAAAAGGGGTGCCTGAGCGTGCAATTTCCCTGTTAACGGTTCGTTAACAGGGAAACGGGCGGGCCAACAAAGCACCCGATGTTCCCTGTTAAGGGCTCAAAGAAAAGGGCGGGCCATTTAGATCCCGCAATACAGATGCCACCCCCTCACACCCTAATTTCATTTCTTCAGACTAACAGATCGCACGCTACGCGCGCTTTCCGTCATCCCCGCAATGCAGAGGCCACACCCTCACACTCCCCCTAGTTAATTCCTTCCGACTAACGGATCGCACGCTACGCGCGCTTTCCGTCATCCCCGCAGTGCAGAGGCCACCCCCTCACACTCACCCTAATTCATTCCTTCCGACTAACGGATCGCACGCTACGCGCGCTTTCCGTCATCCCGCAATACAAATGCCACCCCCTCAAACTCCCCCTAATGTCATTATTCCGACTAACGGATCACATTGTGGCAATAGGCGTGTTGTTGAACGCTTCTTCTGACTAGGAGTGTGTTCAAAGCTTGAGGAACCCAATGATTTGTGATTGTGTTTGACATGCGCGCGCTGGGGCGCGCATGTGGCCCGCATGGTGCCGTTTGATGGGCTGCGTTACACCACTCACTTCTTAGGTCAACGCAAGTGCAACGCAATGTAGGTTTCCAGGAGATGAGGGGGGGACGCTACCAGCTTGGATGAGATGAAAGTATGCGATGTGTCTGATGTGGCGGTATGTCTTCATCTCAGTGTCCTTCCTCTCATACCTCTACCTTCCTTTGTTTGTTGTCATCGTTATGCCATTCCATCTTCCCCTGGCATGCTGTGTCTCATGATTTCCCTTACCTTGGTGTATCCTCAATGCTCTCCGAAGAAGACCAAGAATTTTGCCCGCTGTATTAGTTTGTTGCGTTTCCCGATGAGCACGCAGACGCGCCGATCTGCATGCCGACGCGCACGTCCACGGGCTGCCCGCAGCCTACGACTCCGACCGACTCACCAGGGGGCAGGACGGAGAGTAGGGGGGACAAGAGGAATGGAAGGGGATAGGAGGGAGAGCAGGAACGGGAGGAGGGGGGAGAGAAGGAGGGAGCGGGAGGGGGGGAGGAGGATGGAGGGGGGAGGGGGAGTCGAGGGATAATTAGCTAGGTGTGCTCGCGCCTCATCTGACATCCTCTCCCTCCCTTCTCATGGCGCTGATTGTTCATTACACGCGGATGCGTGTCATAGCTGACCTGCGACTCCCACAGAAAGACCACTTCGTGGCATGCTCAATCGGAAAAGGAGCTGCGTGCACAGGATGAGGAGTTGGCGGGTGAGTAATTACGAGGATGAGCGGGAGGAGAAGGATGAGGACGAACAGCAGCAGCAGCAGCAGGAAGTGAAGCGGAAGGATAGGAAGAAAAGGAAGACCAAGGGGAGGCAGAGGAGGGGAAATGAGGGGGGCGACAACATTGAAGAACGACTCGGAGTTAGAAAAGTGGCACTCGCTGGGGCGAGACGAACAACAGCAGCAGCAGCAGAGCGCGAGGAACAGGAGGACGAGGGTAAGGCGAAGGGGGAGAAATGAGAGGGGGACCACAATGAAGCTGGACTCGGATCCAGAAAAATGGCCCGCGCTGGGGCGAGAGCGCCATTCTGAACGACATGAGCAAATGGCCGATCCGAAACTGAGGCCCACGCTGCAGCGGGAGCACCATTTTGAAACACCGAAAACCATCGGATTTGTAAAAAGCACAAGGATAATCAGCTTGTGGAACCGTGTGTAAAGAGCATCACGCGGAGGGGGCGGGCCACTTTGTTATCATCTTCGGGGGGAGAGGAGAGAAGCATTCAGATTGTGCAACTGTGGAGGAGGAGGAGGAGGAGGAGGAGGAGGAGAAGGAGCAGGAGGAGGAGGGATCGAAGAGGGGCGCTCCTCTGCTCTGTGGCAGATGCTCGCCCGCCGGCGACGCCACCGAAGGCGCACCGACTAAGTCCTCCGCCGCGGCGGCAATGGCGCGGGGACGGCCTCCCGCCCCATCCCGTCCTGCCACGCCCCTCCTCCTCGCCCCCTCGCTCCCCGAACCCCCTCGAGTCGAGGGAAAAACACGACAGGGGGGAGGGCGCTATTCTCGGCCCCTGGGGGCCCTCGCAGGTCCCCAGGACCGTCAAAAAACTACGCAGGGTGAAAAGCTGGTCTGGGGGAATGGGTCGAGACCTCCGGGGGGGCCGCGTCGTGAAAAATCATGACGTCAGGGGTCTGGGTCCTTCCCTCTCCCCTCATGCCCCTCCCTCCTGATGATCCTCCCCTCCCTCCCGTCCTCCCTCGGTCCTCCTCCTCCTCCTCCTCCTCCTCCTCCTCCTCCTCCTCCTCCTCTTCCTCCTCCTCCTCCTCCTTGGCTCAAGCCGTTCTGGCTCAAGCCAGTGAGAGACAGCAAGCCGTGCCTGCTGAGCAGCCCCTCGGGCAGCAGACACATCATGCGGCCAGACGAAGCCAGTCGACTTGATGTCACTGTTGGTGTGCAGTGGGTGACTTCGGCATGGCGCGATCGTCGATGCGCCCGCCGATGCATCTGCTGCCAGAGTCCCACGCGCAGAGGATGGACATGGTCGGACAAACCGTTTGAGCTCTGCACGAGTTGTGGCACAGCCTTCCTGGGGTGAAGTCAGCTCCACTGAGCCACCAGCCTGGATACAGACCACGACCGACAGATGGCGTCGACGTTCAGCTAGCCCTGCAGCAGGTAAGACGCCACAAGAAGCTGGAAGCAGAGGACCTGTGGATGACAAAGAGAAGGACCCCATCGCCATCTGTGCTGCGGCGGTCCAGTTCTTGAGAAAAATGGAAGGCACCACAGGAACCCACTAGGCCTCCAAGCCGTGGGATCAGCAGAAGTCACTTCATGATCAGTTGGAGGTTGCAGAAGGAAAGATTGCGACAGCCAGAGAAGACCGAGACAAAACCTTGGACACGCTGGCGAAGTTGGCCCATGAGTATGAGCGCCAGGTCAAGGTCGATGAGGAGCTCGAGGTCGAGATGGCGCAGCTCGAAGTTCAGCACAAGATGGCAGCGAAGGCGGCCATCAAGGAGCTCGCCCAGACCCAGACCCCGTCCAAGTCGCTGGCTGACTTCATCGCCAGCGAGCTCCCTGCAGGGCTCGCGCCGTCGCCGCAGGTCCAGAAGCAGATCAGCCAGTCATCGGGCCAGCTTCACCGCGAGTGGCAGGAGGCCCAGGAGGCGAAGCAGGGAGAGAGGGAGGTCGCGAAGCCGCCCCAAGGGGAAGTGGCTGCATCGCCAGGGCAACCTTCGCAGCAGCCAGCTGTTGAGTCCGCGCCAGGCCCTGGAGCTGGCGTCGCAGCAGGCTCGCCCGCTTCCTCCCGAGCCGACGTCGGCGCCGATGGAGGAAGGCACCGAGCACGAGGGGGCCAAGCGTGGAGGAGACGTTTTTGGCCAGATTCTCAACCTCGCCGGGACCAGCACCACGGCCGAGCAGGAGGCGAGGCTGGAGAAGACTGCAGAAACCCGGGCGCCCACGGCCAGGGCTCTCTGCGAGGCCACGGGCAAAGGCCAGGCCCCGTCGCGGGGGTAACACCACCACAACGACAATCAACGGCAGTTGCTGGAAGTCTGTCCGCAGATGCTTGAAGTCCGAGGCTGCCGAGTCCATTGACATCGTCTGTTGTCAAGCGGCCAGGGTTGTAAATGATGCTCTTCCTTTCATCATCCAGTGGCTCGAAAGGGAGGGATGGAATGCGATATTCTCACCAGCCGTGCTCAGCCCCGAAGGGTACCCTGTCCAGGGAACTGGAGTTTTGATTAGGGATGGGCCTGGCACAGGAATATCTCGTGTACCGACACCAACAGGGGTTGAGGCGCCCAGGTGCACAGCAGGTTCACTTGAACTACCAGGCCACAAACCACTGGTTCTAGTCTCGTTGTAGCGGGCCGACGGGGTGGGCCTCAATAAATACAACTTAGAGCTCCTAGCCAAGGTTGCGATGATCCGGGATGCCGTCAAGCAGCCGATGATCTTCGCAGGGGGCTCCGACGTAACACCGACGCGTCGCATTGAGTCTAACAATGCACTACGAGCCTGTTTCAAGATTCTGGCTCCGTCGTCACCGACCTGTAAACTTAAGAAGCCGTCGTCCGTATTCGACTATGTCCTCGCCTCGAGTTGCTTCGATCAGGGCCTCTCGAGAGCCCAAATGTTGGACCAGTACCCGTTCAGCCCCCACAGGTCCGTGCTGGCCCAGCTCCGCGTCGGGAAGCCCTTCCTGGTGCTCATCATCGAAAAGCCCCAACCATTGGGGAATACTAGGCCCTACGGGCCAATCATCTACGTGCCGTCTTGGGTGAAGACCGAAGCCACCCTGGAGTTCATGGAGGCCATCTTAGATAGAGAAACGAACACCGAGGCTAGGATTCCTGCCCTGGACAGCGTCTACCAGTGTTTCGTGGGCGACATGGCGTGCTCACTCAGCATCAGGACCGACACGCCGATAAAGGCGCCCACGAACCCTCGAGCGACTCTGCCCAAAGTCAAGTGGGCACCAGGAGCCGCCAGAGACGTGAAGGTCCGTGCCAATTGGAAAAGTTTGAGCGTTCCAGCTCGGTGGCTGAAAAACGAAGTCGTGCATATCATCAGAGCCATACACAGAGACGAAGTGTGTAGCCTACCTGATGCTCCCCATACCCTACAACAGCCGCCACCAGAACTGGAAGGATCCGAGGAGTTTGCCCGTTTGCTCGCCAGTGTTAAGACAGCCCTATCAGCTGCGGTACAGGACCACAGCTCCGGCCAGCACGACAAGAGGTTGGTTGCGCAGGTATTTAATGATCTAGACGAATCAGTCGGTCGCGCTCTGCAAGCAGAGGAAGCCAGAGACCGTCGAAGTGAAACCACCTCCTGGAATTCTTGGGTCAAGGAAGCCATGTCGACAGGGGTGAGATGGGCTCATAGGAGGAAATATGGCGTCAGAACGTATGGCGTCCTTCCCTCCAAAGGTGCTCCAGTCCGAGGCCTCGAGGCTGTGAGGACTCTGGCGCGACACCGACAACGAGCAGCCGTTCACCCTACCGTCGCAGGATTGCCCGCCGCTTCGCCCGATCACGACGCCCATGATTCGATACGCTGCCGAAAGACTTCCGAAACCAACGGCCCAAACGTGGGACGGGTTTCATCCCAGGCATTTGTCTTATCTTTACCGACGTGGAGTTGAAGAGTGCTGTTCAACTGATGGCAGCGATCGAAAGGATAAGAGTGTTTCCTACCACCATCCGCAGCATCATCCTGGCGCTGATTGAGAAGCACATGGCCGACCAGACTGAGGGCCCGTCTTACCGTGAGATCGGTGTGTTACCCTCGTCGAGGCGTGTCTAGACCAAAATACGCAAATACGAAGCCAGATCCTGAGAGCGAAACAATACAAGGAAGTTCATGGCCGGAGTCTGGTCGAGGAGTTGTAGGGACTGCGTATGCCCAGGCCTTGAAGGTTGAACTGGACGGTTCCCGACATTGTTGGCTACACACTGGGCCTATTCTGCGTGATCTATCTGAATACTACGAGAACGTGAACTGACAGAAATGGAAAATCAGCGCCAAAGTGGTTTCCCCGAGGCCCTCGCGCGTGTGCTCATGAGCCAATGTAGAGGCCCCCGCGTGGTGGCAACTAGCTACCCACGCTGGCCGTGCTGCCAATGACTTTCCCGTTGGCTGCCCGTGTGCTGCCTTCAACGTCCAGATGTACGCAGCGCCCCCGATGGATCCCTGGGTACACGAGAACCCCAAAGTGGACCCCTCGATCTTCATGGGTGACTTTATGTTGCCCAGGAGCAATTCGAACATACACCGCCCAGTTCGAGACCTGGCCGAAGGAGCCGATAGCATCCTGAATATGATCGAGGAGGACCTCGATTGCAGCATCGCTTTACACAAAACAGCAGTGCTTGGATCTTGGCGCCTGTCCAGCGTAGGCTGGCGAGGGCGCTCGGCAAGTGCGCTAGACCGCTTGGAGAGCGACAGGAGTCAGCCCCGAACCAAGGAGTCCACTTCACGGCGGGGGGACCCTGTGGAAGAAAGCCAGAGCCACCCTGAAGAGAAGGACGGTCTAAATGAAGAATTGGCTGCAGCGTTTGGGATCTCTCAGAGGTGCAGGTGCCAGCATGAGGAAGTTGTGTCTCACAGGTCTGAAGGCAGCAGCGTACTATGGCACGGAGATCATAGGTATGACCAACCCCGCGCTACGAGATGCCAGGACATTGTGCCTCCGGATTGCGGGCCCAAGACGCTCGACCAAGTAGCGTTCCCTTGCCAAGGCTATCTCGGGAGACCCTACCTGGAGCGCGGCCGTGGGGCCGGCACAGTATTGGGCAAACCTTATTTGGAAAACGGCTCACAATCCCGATACTCGGGTTTCCTTGATCCCTGAACTTCGGAGGCAAGCCAAGGTTGACAGCCGGAACCCGCCCAAGCATTGGTATCAAGTGGAAGGGCCCCGTGGGGCTACGCTGCTATCTCTGGGCCGCCTGGGCTGGTCTATGCCAGATCCATTCGTTTTCCAGGACTCAGCGGGCCAGAAGTACCCTCTCGTCACTACCTCCCCCGCCCTCATCAAAAAGTTATTTCAACAGCAGTGGCACGACCAACTGCTGCAGGCCGCGTCGGCCAAGCTAGGTCTGGATGACCCTCTCAACGTCTCGTTGGCGCAGCACGCGCTGCAGGACAACTCCATCCCAGCGGTCGAGAGGCAAACCCTGCTGTCGTACAGGTGCCTGGGTATCTGGACGAAGGAAAAGATGACTTTGGCAGGTTATGACTGCGATGTATCTTGTGAAGTTTGTGGTGGCCCCAACGACTCCCTGCCCCATCGTCTGTTCACTGCCCTGGGACCGAAAACCTCAGGGTCAAGCACCTCGGCTAAGGTGACCTCGAAATCCTCCAGGGCAAGGTGTTCGGTTTTCCTCTGGTGTTAGGCTTCCAGCCTGTTCCCGAAC